TTTATAGTGAAGCAGATTAAGAAAGATTTACTAAGAAAAGATCAAAAATACCTTTTCAGTTTTTTGAACCACATTCTCACTATGTAGTTCAGGCTGGCCTTGAACTTACTATCTAACCCAAGTTGTCTCCAAACTTGCCATAGTCCTCTGGCCTTAGCTCCTCAAGTGCTGAGATTACAGGCAAATGCCCCTATGCGGCATCATAAACAATTTTTTAATAGGAGCAAACAAAAAAGAGTTCAGATCCTTTGGTTTTATTATTTTTCCTTCTTTTTTTTTTTTTTTTTTTTTTTTGTCTTTTTCGTTTTTACCGGTACCAGGGATCGAACTCACGACTGCCTGCTTGCAGGGCAGGTGCTTATGCCGCTGAGCTAAATCCCCAGCCCCTACTTTTCCTTCTTTAAAAACAATACATTTTATGGGCTAGGGATTTAGCTCAGTGGCATAAACACCTGCCTTGCAAGTGCATGGTCGTAAGTTCGATCCCCGGTACCAAAAACAAACAAACAAACAAAAAAACAATACATTTTATTCACAGGATATAGAAACAAGTAAAAAGAATAGCTTTTTCTTATCACTTAGTAAGTTCTCGTTTATTATTCCTTAATAAAACCTTCAGTTGTCTACTTAAATTTCCCATATTTATAGCAACAAAGACTTCACAGTACTTATAGTTACATTTAATTCTAGTATTTTGATGGTTTTCTTCCTTCTATTTAATATTGAGAACAGAACAGAGGGATTATTTATGATTTTACATCTGTAACACCACAGTGACTGATATATTTGATTAGGAATTCTGTTGAATAAATTAACACTGGATATGATTCATCAAGCTGTAACTAAGATTAAACTATGTATATTCAATAAACGTGAATCAACTTTTGACTTCATTTCTGTGACCTCACATCACATGCCCATGTTCACTAATAAATACACATGTCCTTGGGTTTTTACTTTTAAAAATAATGTCTTTTGGCCATTCAGTTATCACTAACCCTAAAATGAAAACACTGAGGGAGTAGTGAATACTTCGGGAAAATTTTAAAACATCACTAATCTATGAATGCATTAAAGTGGGGTAAGGAATGAAAACAGACAAGGGAAACCAAGTGAAGGATTGAAGTAGAGGTAAATAGTAAAGTGAGAAAAGAAGAGTTGAAATGGGAATGACCTTTATTTCAGTAGTAAAAGGTATTTTTCCAGATTCTAGAAGACAGTTCCATGCCTCAGTTTCCAGTGTAAAAATATAGTATAGTTACAATTTTTCCTTTCAGGTTGGGAATCCTTTTCTCTTCTTTCTTTTCTTTTTGTTGTTCATTTGGTTTGTTTTTGTTTTGTTTTGTTTTGATTTTTGTGTTTTTTGAGGGGAACGGGGTCTTGTTATGTGGTTTAAACTGACGTTAAACTCACTGTGCAACCTAAGCCTAAGCTGTCCTCAAACTCCCAGCAATACTTCTGCCTCACCCTCTCAGGTACTGGAATTAACAGGCATGGTGTTACCACAAGAATCATTTTCTTAAATTGTTCTAAGCACAGAGAAAGCTTCATTAAGAATGCTTTTGCAACATTAATTAATGTTTTGTTATGAGGCATTTCCCAAGCACAAGTAGACATTTTTACATGTCTTTTTTTAAACTCAAGAATAACATAAAGCTCAAATTTGTGAAATTGTGTGTGGTTTCTAAACCTCTGATTTCACCACAGTCCCAGGTCTGAGAATTACATTGTTTTATAAGGGTAGATAGATACATATTAACCACAGATCTCCTTTAATTTCTTTACTTTTTTTTTATAGTGCATTTCTTTATTAGTGAAAAATAAGGTAATATAGTACCTATTTTTTAATCTTACAAAGCTTAATTAAAATTGCAAATGTATGGAATTTAGCATGTAAAAAGCCTGGCAAATAAAGCCTGGAATCAGTCAAATCATCGCTATGATTTTTGTGAATTAGAATTACATAATGGAAGGAGCTTGGACTTTGGAGTTAGAATCCCTGGCTGCAGTGCTTACTTAGTGTGTGATATATAACTAAATTTATCTTTTTTGGCCTTTACTTGTCTAACATTAAAATAGGTTATTACTTTAGAGGGTTGTTTTGAAATTTATGCAAACCGGTGAACTAAGTATCTGGCACATAGTGGGCTCTCAATAAATGTTAGTCTTCCTACAACCACTACTAGGTTATATTGTGAAACTTCAGAAAATAGTGTAAATTATTTATTTAAAGTCATTGTCAATGTTGTTCTTACTAATAAACTTAACTAGTTGTGCAGAATTTTAAATACTTGCTTTTTTTCTACCCACCCTAGTTAAAATAGATTTTTGTATTGCTTCAGAACATACTGTATGCCAAATAAAAAGTAAAAATGTGAATTCAGTCATCAGTAATTCAAGTATCTTAAAGAATGCAAACATGTAAATAATTACAATACTCAGTAGTGTTACATGCATTAATTTGTGTACAGTGTAAAATGTTAGCACAGAGAGCACATGAGCAAGAATTCTGATTAAAAAAGAAAACAAGGGGCTGGGGATTCAGCTCAGCAGCATAAGCGCCTGCCTTGCAAGTGTGCGGTCATGAGTTCGATCTCTGGTACCGATAAAAATGAAAAAGACAAAAAAAAAAAAAAAAAGAAAACAAAATTTAAAGACACTTCTTTAAAGATTTTCTTCTGACCATGGCTTACATAAAGCTGAAACACTACCTATTGTTTATTGATAACTTACCACGTGTCTCACAACAGTCTAAATTCTTGCATGCTGTAATTCAGTTAACTCTCACAAAATAGGTAATATCCCTGTTCTATAGATGCAGACACTACTCAAAGAAATGAAGCAGTTTGGTCAGGGTTATGTAACTGGTAGGTAGTTATAGAAAATATTCAAACCCACATAATTCAATCCTAAAACCACTACAGAATAACACAGTACTGCCTCCCATAACTCATAGCATTAAAGCATTTTAATAACACTGAACTGAAATAGGCAGTAACCATATCATCTTAATCTATTCAAATAGAATGGTTGCTAGAGTTGATTAAAAATTTAATGCTGAAGAAAAAAAAGGAATATAGTACCCAAGTTTACTGCCTAAATGATTAGGAAATTCATGGGGACCATCAGTGGTGACTAGTATAAATGAATACAGAATCAAATGATTTTTTACAGTTAATTAGGGCAGTACTTGGGGAAGGATTTCCTTTCGTTCAAATTGATGTTTTTATTAACAATACTTTATAAGGCTTTCACAGATTTAAGTTAGCACAATCATTAAATCTCTTCCCTTGAACTTGTAAAAATGGTAAGAATAGTATACAGAGAAAAGGTATCCTGGCCTTCTGATTCATTAGTCCCTTTGAGCTATTGTATCAGAGATACCAAGAATTTAACCACTTTGCCCTGAGAGTTGTTGATTAAGCAGTCCACTCGACTTACCTATTTTCATAGACATTCAGTTCTATTACAGGTATGATGTAAGCACAGAAGGAAGTAACAGCAGTGAGAAAAAATGTATTATCTTGGGCTATGTGAATTAAAAACAAATGTCAGAGACCGGAGACTTGGCTCAACAGTATAGGCATCTGCCAGACAAGCACGAGGTCATGAGTTCGATCTCCAGTACCAACCTCTCTCTCCCCACCCAAAAATGTCAAGGAATAGGATGTAAAAAGAATTAAGATGTATTATGTACAGGTACCAACTCACCATGATGAATACAAACACATTAATAAAAATAAATATTTAGTCACATCAATCTGATGGCAGATTGATATAATAAAACCTCTGCAGCTCAAAATCTGCAGGTCAGTGATAGTATACATACATCTTATTGTCAGAAATTATCCAAATTACATTATGTGATCAGATTAAAAAGTCATATAAAAATCACAATTACAGATAGAATTATATCAATGCATTTGAATAAAATGTTACAATTGAATTTTCACTTAGATCCTCTCATGTAGGAAGATTATTTAGGAAGGAGTATTAGAATTAATTATGTACAACAAATTTGCTTTATATATATATATATTTCCCCTTTTGAAAAAAATAGTAATTTTAAGCTGATTTTAACTTACAAATAATTGCGAACCATAATTAACATAGAAATGTTTTCCATTGTTGCTTTCATTTCCTTACATAAATTATAACTCCTTAAAGACAAGATCACCATTTTATAACTACTTATTGTACCTGTAAAAATGGTAGAGTATCTTATATCTAGCATTTGTTGGATAATTACCAACAATTTGTTAATTTTTTTTTGCTAATTATAAAAAACTGGAGGAAAAAACTGTACTTTAACATGTTCCTTATAAAAATAGAATTTCATGCATTATATATCTTTGTCAAGTAGAATTTAAAAAGTAGATAGACCCTATATGTATGCTATGGATTGTGTTTAAGAACATGATATTTAAAAAAATAATATGATACTTATTTTTTCAGTCATTTGTGATTGCACAAATTACTTTGGTGCATTTTAAAAGATGTTTACTTCTTTTGAAACTTTGGATATTGAGTACTGCCAAGTACAGAGCTAAAGAAACAGAGAAACTTTATTTCTTAAACTACTGAGGGGTTTTCACATTAGACTGGCTAGAGACCATGATCTTCAGATGTAGTGCTTATGCAAATTTTGACTACAGAAGTTATTGTTAAAGGTAAGATTTTGTTTCCTGTGTTATAGTCTCATTTTAAGTTATGAATGTTCATTTTAACTGAGCAGGGGTAGTGGAGGTTTTTGCCTACACAACACAAAACAGTAGAGATACAGTCATTTCGTTCTTATATAAGACAGCATTTGTTAATGTGTCTGTTACAGGTTTAATATTTGCTTTTCCTGGGACTTGTTTTGATTCACCATTTTTATTTGACTGACAAGCAACCATCTGTTAGTTATAATTTAACTTTCAAGGCTCTATGTAGTTTGGTTTTTGTTAATGAAGTGTTATAAACAGTGTTATGAAGCTTTTTTCTTTTAATCTTGAAAGGAAAAAAATCCATATCTAAAAAAGCAATTACTAAGAAGAGGAAAACTGTCACAAAGTCACCCACTGTACCAGAATTTCAGGTAAATATTTCAACTTTGTTTCAATTTTTTTAGTTTAATTTTTCCTTTCTGTGTTATTTCATTTCTGGGAGGTTGACTGAATTTCAAGAAACTGTGATACATTTATTTTTAATGAAATGTTTCTGAAAATATATTTTTCCTTGCAAGTACAGGTGTAGCCAAGATTTAATCTGCTAGTAATTTGTAGTCTTTTACTTCTTTGATTTTTCTCCTGGTAGTCAAGACTATGGGTTGTTTTTGTTTTTGTTTTTAATCTAAGCTATATTCAATTTTGTGAAAGTATTTTATAAAAACATATATATATATGTATAATCATGTATCCTTTTACATATATGTGTTTCTACATTGTATAAACAAATATATTAAATGAAGTCTTTCAAGAACAAATTGTAATTTTGTTCTTGAAATCCAAGCCTACATAATCCAATCTCATTTATTTGGGAAGTATGGAAATGGTAGATTAATTAACATGGAAACAAATAATTTTCATTTTTATGGCCTTCAGAGAGAATATTAAAGTTTAAGCATTTCTGCACTAAAAGTAGTTAATATGTGATGCCATATGAATATGTGAAGAGTTTTATAGCTAATATTAAGAATAAGCAGAGAACCTCACCTTAAGCTATACTTTTACTTTCTGTTTTATAAAAAATATGTTTTCTAAAACAAAGGATACTCTTTTTAAAAATTTCTTTGTAATAGTGTGTTTAACCTATTTCCAAATGTTTTATAAGCTCATACTTAATGTTAAAAAGATAAAAGTAGTATTATAATGAAGTTTTGGGTCTTAAATATCTGAGATGAAAATAGACAATGGCTGAGAAAATATCAATAATATATAATGTGAGTTTTTAGTTATGTGTATCTAGAAAATGTAGATATAACCCTATTTGAGGGAGTCAACTAGTTGATAAAAATTGAATATTTGGGTGTATTTTTTTAATGACATTCTTGGACTGAATTGCAAACATTCTATAATCTTTTTATATATAACTTTGGTTCCAGCATATTCAGTAAAAATAATAAGATTTTGTTATTTTCTTAAAATTTTTTCTGCCATTCAATGATTGTAGCATATCACTTAATACTATTTAATGTAACATTAAATTTAATGATGTTACATTATCATGCTTCCAATAATGTCACATTAATTAGCCTATGCTATTCCCCCAACTAATTTTGTCCCCAATTTCTCAAAGCATTAGTTGTGGAAATATAGCTCTTAAGACATTTTCCATATTTTTCTGTTCCTACGTTAGTGGGTACACTTTTACATGTAATAAATGACATAGATTTCACAGACAGTGATTTTTAAAATTATAGCTACTCTTTATATTGATGGTATTTATTAGTGACCAACATTTCTTTTTTAAGCTAATAAAACTAAAACAGAAAAGCAATTATCAGTGTTATCACATATAGTAATATGAATATGAGCACTCATTGTTTCATGAAACTTCAGTTTCTTTTGTGTGTATTACACAATGACATGCATTGTAAAATATATTTTTAATTGTGAGTCATGGGCAAAAAGCTTAAAAAACACTGTATTATATATTAAGTGATGCTTTGAGTTATTGACCATTTGTGCACCACTCTCAGAAACTTAAAGTCAAAAGTACATGTTTTGCTAGATTGACTATTCAGAATAAATAAAGTCCCCTTCCTGGTTCCTAAGTTGTGTGTGTGTGTGTGTGTGTGTGTGTGTGTGTGTGTGTGTGTGTCTAAGATGAGGACTATTCTCATGAGAATGGGGGTTCTTATGCCTAATTGACAATATGAATACCATGGTACTACTCATAAAGAAAATTGACAGTTCTCTCCTAAGGTAATAGGTTATTTCCTTCAAATAAACACATTAATAGACTGAAAGTATAGTTACTAGTTTCAAGAAACTTTGAAAACTGTAGAACTTACAGTTTTGTCCACATGTAAGAATACTTTTTATCATCTAATAAACAAGTTAATGTATTTTCCTAAAAGTTCTAGTGGTATGATATCTAGTACCTGAAATTCTGCAAGTTATTCTTCTAATCCAAGTGATTTTAAATATAACATTTCTACACTGACTAATGGCTCATGCCTGTAATCTCAGCACACTGGTAATCAGAGGCAGACAGATTTTAAGGTTGCCTAGCCTGGACAGTTTATCACTTTGAGACCTTGTCTCAAAAGAAAACAACATTAAAAAGGCTAAGAATATACTTCAGTGCCAAGGCCCTGTGTTTAATTCCCAGTACCACAAATAAATAAAACACACTTCTTGTATTAAACACAAAAATATGGCATACAAATATTTAAGTACAAAATTTTCTTTACGTTACTTATTCTAAAGTGTCTTACTGCTGAAAATAATGAAATAATGAATACTGAATAATAATAATAAATAATGAAACCATTGGTAATATTAAATCTCTTTTGTGGAAAGAGAATTATTTTCCAAAAGTGTGGTCTTTGAATTGTTAGAAAACGTACCTAAAAGAGAAATAAGATAAGGAATTAAATTGTCAGATTTTTTTGAGTCCTAATGAACTAAAAACTGAGACCTGATTTGACAGTATTTTGTTTTGATAATATTTTTGTTGAATTTTTTTACAATATTTTTGTTGAATTTTTAAAAGTTGAAAGTCAAACTTGCTTCTTTGTTTCAAGAAGAACCCGCATTTATATTTTTTATATTTGTATTTATTTATATATCTAATACTGAAACTTTTGTTTAAGCGAATAATCCTTTTACTCTTATTAAGAGTATGTACTGTGGACATTCAAATGGTGAATTGGATTTTTGTGTTTTGTATATTGTAAAGGAACTAACATTATCTGTGCTACTTTTTCCTAAGAGAGGTTCTCAAACTTTATATGGTATAAATAAATATAGTATAATAAATATATATATTTATTAGAAATAAAAATTCCTGGGTTTTCTTCTCCAAAAAGCTTGATTCATTGGGTCTAGATGGGTAACATGGTGCATGGTGGTTAAGCATGATTCTGGAACCAGGCTGCTTGAGTTTGAATGCCACCCCTACCACTCACTAACTTTATAGCCGTGGGTAAGATCTCTCTGTGATTCCAATTCCCCATCTATAGAGAGAGATAATAATAGTACTTACTTACCTAGGATTGTGAATTAATATGCAGGTCTATTTCTGATTATTTTTTCAAATATGCATGTCAAATGCTTCTGATGAAGAAACACTGCATTATAAATAGAAAATCAATTTTAAAATGCTTAAGAGCTTGTTGCTGACCTTAGCATTTTTTCCAGCTACTTAAGACCTTGAAACAAATCTTGGATTTGATCTTATGAAAGCAGCACATGATTAAGTTTATAAGAATCTGGAAAAGTGAAAAATCAAATAATATATTTCACCACATTGAAAACTTACACTTATCCAGATGTATCCTAGTATTCTCATGGGTTATACAGTTTACATGTAGATGAAAGTTTTATGTTTAGTCAGCAGTTACTGCAAAATATTGGGAAATATTTTTTACTTTCAATATTTCTATTATTAGAGATTTAAGCTTTTATATCACATTTAACAGTTACAGTACTTATTGTTAGACTGTAACTTATCAACCTTAATTACTGTAACTCATATTTTTTTGGTAACCAAAAAATTTTTCATGCAGTGTGTATACTTGCTGTTATTTCATATCAGTAATTTATTGTGATGGCTAATTTGCAAAGGAAATCCAAACTCCAACTGCTAAGGCTTAGTAGGATTGTTTCCAAACATAAATTAATAAATCCTTAAAACATCCCTGAAAAAATATATTTTCATATAGTGTGTTGAAATAAGCTATTCTTAATCACATGGTAGTAAAAAATATTTTTCTAACTTGCTTGTCAGACATTCAGTTTCATATCACAAATAATAACCTTATTTTCAGGTTTTAAAGTAGTCATTACTATTAATATGGTGATCATAAGAAATTTCCTGTCTGCATAGTTTTAATGGATCTTAATAGCTTACAGTATAAATTTTGAATTTACATCACACATTTAATATTTTGTTTATAATTTTATAATTGTAGAATCTTTTTATTAGACTGAGACTAGATACAATTGATTTTATTGGAATCTATTAATTTTTGGGTTTCCCTTTTATTTGCTTTTAAATACAATCTATTTATTGTTTCTGTTGTACCATATTGTTATAGTATTTTATATTTTTTAAACAAATAAGTATCTTTCACACGTACTGAGTTTCTACCCAAAGGACATAATTTAAATTAAGCATTAAGATAAGGAATTATTTCTTATGTAGTTTTCCTGAAATGTGGTCATGGAGTTCTTTTGATCCCTACAGCGCTCCTCTCCACATATGTACATCGTCTTGAGTTGAAGACAGGATCTTTTAATATTATCATTTTAATGAAAAAGGTTAGATATAAGTTATATCTTCAAACTGTGATACATGTTGTATTCTTAGGTTTTGTTTTGTTTTTAGAAAAACATATTAAAGAATATTTATTATACAGTAGCAAGAGGAGTTTTATGCTTTCCTCTACCAATGTGTCATCTTAGGTTACATTACCTCTTAATTAGCTCATACATGAATTAGAAGTCTTTCTAACCTAGGCTCATGATTGGACCAGAATACATATTTTTGGTCCATTCACCTCTAAGACCTATGTTTTGTCATGAATTATGTCAGTTGAAAGGTTCACTCGAGAGTGTGACAACCTTAAAGAGATTCCTCCTGGGGAATTTGTAACCTCTACAATGTCTTACAAACCTCCTCTCATAACCTTAATAGTGTGAGTTGACTGTAATCTAACCTGTCATGGGGCCCTTTCCTTTTTACCCCTAGAAGCCCCTATGCATCAGATAAGTTTTCCAAATTCAGGCTAATGAGATTTAAATCAGGTGTTTTTGCTTTGCTCCAGAAATCCATCTCTTCTCCTTATTAAGGTGAATTTTACTTACTGAATTGATTCTGTTTTTAAAAGAACTGTTTGAAATTGAGTTTAAAGGACACAAATTTGTCCTTCTTTGTAAAAGAGGCAGTAGAGTTGTAGGAGTTGGCATTATATTCTTATATTAGAATTTTCCAATAGTTCAACTTCATTCTCTATATTTGATAAATATACATATATTTATAGAGAGAATATATATTCAAATATAAAGAGAGTGTAAGTTATTATGTACATATTATCATTATTTAAAATTATTTTAAAATATTTTGACCCTCAGAGTTAAACAATGAAATTTATGTTTAAAAGTCATATCATTTTTAAAGGACATTTATTCTGTCATTGTGAAATTCAGTATGCCATCCCCTATTTGGAAATCAATCTTTTTGAATTTTCATACTCATTAGCTTCGTAGTACCAGAGCATTTCAGTAGCCATACCAATTTGTAATTCATTATCACTTAATACCTTGCAAAAAAGTATAAGCTGTACACTGTACTTGAAAACTTGCTAGAATGCAAAAGGTAAGGTGTCACTTAAGACCTACTAAACCACAAACCATTTTAGGAAAATCCCCATGCAGTTCTCTTGTACATGGAAGTTTGAAAAGCACTGGTTTAGTACAACTTACTACTTAGGTAAACCACTAGAAAGTGTTACGTATTTTATGTAGCTCTTTCATAGTTTGACTTCAAAGCTATGTTATCTGCTCCTACTTTAGGAGGAATACAAATATTTGTTTTCATTACTGATAATTAAAAGATCTTAAATTTTTTAGGGTGTCTTCAGTGGCAGGGTATATGTCTTCATTGTTCTTACAAATTTCTACAAAGTACATGTAATATGTACCCTTTTTCTGTATATAGTGAGACAGCAAATATGTAAGTAAAACTGTTTCTGAGCTGTGGCATGTGTGCAATGAGAAATATGTGCTATGATATTAATATAACCATTTGCAGGTTATGAGCCAATTTGATACACTGTCACAGTCGCAGACGGTGCTGCAGGAAGGTTAGTCTTCACTGAGTTCTTACTAAAAACTTGCTGTAGTACCAACAATGTTGTATGGCTTTATAGTTATAATAGAAGCTGAAGACCCTACCTTGTTTTAGAATAATCGGCCTAGGTAGCCAGTCCACTGTTGGACTACCAGCATTTCTTTCATACTTAGATTTGCCAAATTAGAATGTACATTATCTAATAAAGATCAACTAATTCTCCCATTAGATCACTGTATGCTGTTTTCTTCTCTAACGTTGTTTAATTTGAGAGGAAGTGTTGTTTGTTTTAACTGTGGTGCTAGGAGTCAAACCCAGAGCCTTATACTTGCTAGGCATGTACACTGAGTTACATCCCCAGAGTTGAAATTGTTTGATTTGGATTACTTGCATAGATATTTTTCCTAGTTTTTTAGGTTTGTGAGCTTGCAATTGTACAGATATTCTAATAAGCAATTGTTAATTGGATTATAACATAATATCTTGGTAATTTTTACATAGTCTGTTGAGTAGAACTACATTGCCATTTTTGTGTAGTGCATCAGCACTTTTAAATGACTTAACCTATTATTAAAGGAAATTTAAGGAGCTTCCTGTGTAATACATTTGTCACTTAGTAGCCACTAGGAATTATCTTGTAACATAGTTTTACTTTTGTTGTTGTTATTTTTAATGTTTGTTTTTTCCTAATAAACATGCCTTTTAGAAAAGCAATACCCTTGCATAGAAATTAATATAACAAACAGAACTGTTAATGATATTTAATAATTTATAAAAGTATACATTTAAATAATCATATAAACATTGTAACAAGACTTTATTTAATCTGAAACTTTTCCTCTCTGCAGCTTTGTTTCAGAGATCGTTCTTTTATTTTTCACAATAGATGTGTTTAAATAGCTTACACTATTTTAGGAAAAAGTTCAATTATTGAACAAATTCAGTATAATATAGCAGAAAACAAAATGTCATTACTAATGTCTTTGCTATTGTTGTTGAAACTTCACTATATAAAATATTGGTAACAAGCCAAGGTAGTTGAATTATTAATAACTGGTCAACCAATTGCTTTGGCCATTTGCCAGTGTTACCAAGGTAAAATAAATTGAACCACATAATTATGAAACAGATATTTTCTCTGAAGATCATTGTATTTAAAACCTCTAAACTCATGTTTTAAAAAGTATACTTAATTTTGTTTACATCTTTGAAGAATATTACCTTTAGTCACAGTCCTTTTTTAGTAGCACTCCCAACAGCAGTAGCTAAGGTTTGTTAACTTACGTAGTTAGCAAACCAAAGTGAAGGCATAATGACAGTTCTCCAAGGGTATATTTGTTCATTTACTTGGAAAACTGATGTAACCATGAAGTCTAGGATGAATTTCCAGATCTTTGTCATTCTGGCCTGAAAGTTAATAATGTTAAGAAAGTACCTGGATTTTAAAGTAAACAAAGTGATGGGGATATGGATGAAACCACCAGTGTTGAAATTTCAGCTTATTTTATGTAAAGCCTGAAGTTCTTACATGATAACAAGTAAATATCTCTTAAAATATAAACTGGAGCTTTTCTTGCTTTTACTAGTTGGCAGAGAAAATAATTTATTGTGAATTCAGTGTATGTTAAAACAACTTCTGTTACCACATTTTGGGTGTTTTATATTATGTGTTATCAAGCTATGTTTTTGTGTTTTATTTTAGCTTATTTGCACTAATCTTGATGAACTCAGGGAATTAATCACAAAAATCGAGAATGAACTCAAAGATCTGGAAAACAGTAGAAAAAAATCGGTAGGTGTTAATCCAAAAGTTCTATCTATTATTGTCAGCATTAAAATTCCTGCTTTTTTTTTCTAAAGCCTTTTAAAATTTTTGTTCTGGATTACATGAAAATTGTCAATGAAAGATAGAAACATTATTTCTTTTATTTCTCTTATGTCATCTAGTTTTCATTTTTAACAGTCAAAAATGGTACAAAGGCAAATTAATTTTCTTTGACTGGTTTATATCAGGTTGTAGTTTTAGCTATTCTCAGTATACTGATTGGTTGTTCTTTGACTAGTAGCTTTTTTAGGAATTGTTTATCTTGAAAATATGCTTAATTAATAATTAATAGAGTATATTATATAATAGAATTTTAATTAAATGTAATATTAAAACATATAAATTGTTTATTGAGCCCAAGATACTTTTGATTCTTACCAGTGTGACTTTTTAAACATTATTCTAAATTCATAATTAATCTTAATTTTACTTTGTATTTTTCCATTGTTCTTGAGAGACTACACTATGATGGCATTTTATACTCCTAAATTGATAGAACAGTCAGTTTTGTTATTTATTAAATAAGTACTACAATACCTGTTTAACTGGTGTTTGTAGTTGAGTTGTGTCACAGATTTGAAACAATTATACACCTGCAAATAAATGGAGAAGGCTTTAAGCATTGAAAAGAATCAGTCCTCACTTTAAAGAAATCTTTGTGTTATACCTTAGAAATGTTATGAAGCTATTTCTAGGCCTTTGGTCAGAACTTGTTAGTGTAAACATGTATAAAATGTGATTAGTGATTAAGCGAGTTTGATATCACAGATCTGTAGCAATCATTTTTACTTGATTTGGGAAAGGCATATTTGTAGCGCCCTGAAAGTCAGAAGGGAGGAGACTGACATACCGTAAAAGTACAGCTTCCTGAAGTTACTTAATACTAGGGCTAAAGAACCTAATTTCAGAAGCCTTTCAGTGAATTCTTGAGAGATTGTTAAAACCTAAGTGATAAAATATTGTTCATAATGATAGTTATCAATAAACAAGAAAATATTAATGTTCAGAGAATGCAAAAATTATGAAATATATTTCAGGAATAATTTCATTCAAAATGTTTTAGATCCTCATGAGACTTGCATTTTTGTATAAACTGTAGGTATTCAGGAAGTCTCTTGAAATGAAAGACTTTTACTGAAATTTACAGTTGTAATTCCTCAAAAATTATATGATAGTATTTTTTTGTGCAACCAGTAGTTTTATTAAATTTATTGCATGTTTTATGTACAAAAGGAACTGATTTTTTTCTTCAGTAGGAAGGTCAGCTGGAACTGCATAACAAGACCTTGTCTCAAAATAAATAAATCAAGGTGTGATTTGTTGTTTCTTACTGAAACTATTTTTTGTTAGGTATTTATATTTCATGACTGTACAGAACTTTTTGCTAAATCTTTTTTATGCTGCAGTTAAGCATACTTTGTTTTCCATATTATAAATTGGAACTTTTAATATTTTTCTGATGCATACTTACTTTTAGATATAAGTGGTTCAAAGTATTTATAGCATGTACTGTAGGATTTTTTTTAAAAAAAAATTTTTATAAGCATTCTAGGGTTTTTCTGTAAAGCCTTTTACCTCACTTTGAAGTGGATGTGAGGTTTAAGCATATTGCCTTCTTTCATAGGACCAAGTAAAATAAAATTAAAAGAAAACAAACTACCAATACCTTGTATGATATTTTGTGAGGAAATGCTTATCAGAAGATTTCAGATTATGTTAAGGGTTAAATTGATTAAATTCTATATCACCAAGCTTGAGGCATAAAGCAAGTAGACAATAAAAGTTTGAATCTCTGTATTATTCCCTATTTTTGTTTTTAAAAATCTGATAATGAGTGTGATAGGCCCTTTAGGAATTAGTTTTACTGACTATTTATGTTGATATGTAATATGAGCTTGTTTCGCATCCTTTGGGAATAGGATATTCCACTTAACTAAATTTTCTAGATACCTGAATTTAAACCTTTAATACTAAAATCTATCTTTTAATCATTTAGTCTTTTAACTTGTCTGACTCCTGGTGCTTTATTAAATGCAATTTAACCCTTTTTTGATGACTTATTGTTTGTCATTATGAATATCAGTAATTGTATTGGTTTCCTAATACCATATCAGTAACACTGCATGTATAAAAACTAAAAGGCTTTTATCCCAGATATTTTGAAGGATTTTGTTTGTATTTTTGTTTTTGTTCTGTCTCTTTCTTCATTGCCAGGCTATGTCAGTAAGTTGTCCTCTCTATGTGTATTCATATGTTTGCTGTAGCTTATATACAGGCAGGTAACCATACTTGTTAGAATTAGGCTCACAGTGAGTATGAGCCTACTCACTGTGAGTAGGCTCATAATTTCAGTAAGGAAATTATGAACTATTATGAAATTATGAACTACATAATAATGATAGTTATTTTGAATGCTTCCTTTTCTGTGGCCTTCCTTCACTCTTGCCAGACAAATCCAGTATTAATACTGCTTTTCATAAGAAGAGATCACAATCAAAAATAAAATAGTATATCTGTAACTAATGAATTGAGTAACAAAGACTAGATATTCTGTATAAGTATTTGATTTTCATAAATGTTATTAAAAATACAAATTAATATATATGATAAAGAATTTAATGTGGAATCATAACTGTCTAGTGGCATGCTTCAGAGAACTTCTTTTCTACAGCAACTTTTCAGATAATTTTTCATATCAAAATAACAAAACCCATTTTCTCACTCAGGTTAAACATTGCATTTAAAAAGTCTTTTTTGTTATTTTCACTAAATAATTCATATTTTAGAGCAAATTTATGTTTACATTAAACTTATCTATGTGAGATTTATTCAAAGAAACACTTTTTGTTCAGATTTATAGGAGTATACATTTTGAGAAAGTCCTTTAATTTTATTTTCTCATTACTGTTTAAACCATAGAAATCTTTGTGATCTTATGGAGTAATCATATTTTTATTGTTTCTGTTTTTATGATTTGGTTGGCAGAAAATTCACATTCTGATGAATTATTGGGACAATATCCTTTGTATTCTAGGAAATGTATTTGTTTTCTAGAATGGTAGAATACTAAGATATTGATAATTTACCCAAACCCATTATAGTTGAAATTTGACAGACATTATTGCCTTCTAAATAGTGTTACAATATTTTGCAAAGCTTTGATTTCATTTTTTAATTCTGACCCCATAAAAGGATCTTTATTCAATTAATATCATATCTTGTCTTTTTAATTGTTTGTTATTTATTAGAATATGTTTGCAGTATGTATGATTACATTCCTCCTGGAGTTCATACATGTATATAATACACTGAATGCTTTTTAGTCTTTCAATTCCCCTCCCTCTTTCTCTCCATAGCTTTGTTCCCTTCCCTTTTGAAAAAGATCTATCTCTTTGTTCTCTATTACCTATCTTTACATTTGCTCTGTATGTTTTGGATTTCTTATATAAGCGAAACCTTGTAAAACTTAATCTTTCATGTCCGATTTATTCACTAAACATTAGAATCTCAAGGTATATCCATTTTTGTACAGATGACTCAACTTTATCCTTCTTGGTAAAACTCCATTCTGTATAAATACCTCACTTTCATTATCCATTCATCTGTTAATGAATTTATAGGCCTTTTCCAAGATTTCGCTGGTTGGAGTTAGCCTGTAATTCCAGAACTTGGGAGGCTGAGGCAGGAGGATAGGCCACAAGTACTACATAGTGAGTTCAAGACACTTAAAAAAAAAAATAGATTTAGTCTTTAAAAAAATAGATTTAGCTTTCATCAATTCTGCTATAAACGTGGGTATTTGTGTATCACTGTAACATGAGTCTTTACCTCTTTTAAGAAGAGACATAGAAGAAAAATAGCTAGATGAAATGGAAATTCTAGCATTAGTTTTTTTGAGGAATCTCTATATTATCAGTTGTACTAATTTCCACATGCACCAACATTCCACGGACTCACCAGCATTTCTTACTATGTAGTTTCTTGATGTCACCATTGTTTCGGGAATAAGATGGAGTCACAGTATTTTAATTTCCATTTCATAAATGGCCAGACATGTGGAACATTTTTTTTTCATGCATTTATTAGCTATTTGTATTTCTGGAAAGTGTCTACTAATTTCAAGTGCTCATTTTTTTATTAGGATTTTTACTTGGGGGGGCCTCTTTTTTTTTTTTTTTTTTTTTTTAGTTCTGTGAGTATTCTACGTATTAGTCCTCTGTCCAACAAACAGCTGGCAAAATATTTTTTCATTCTATAGGTTGTCTCTTTACTCTGTTTAGTAGAATTCTGGTCAGAAAGGCCTTGCCTATACCTCTAACTTTAAGAATTTTACCTGTTTTGTCTTTAGGTAGATTGCTTCTGTTTTAACATTTGGATTTTTAATCAATTTTTAGTTTAGTGGATGGCAAGAAATTTGGGTCTAGATTCAATCACCTCCATTTGTCTAGCCAGTTTTTCTAGCAGTATTTATTCTATAGACTGTCTTTCCTATAGTAAAAAATTTTGGCCCTTTTTGTCAAAGATTGTATAGCTAAATGTTCTAGGGATTATTTCTGTACTTTCTGTTCTATTCCAATGATCCATATATCTCTTTTTGTTCCAATACTGTGCTGTTTTTATAATGTAGCTATGAACTGTAATTTGAAATCCAGTATTGTGATGCATCCTGCTTTGCTTTTGTTGCCCAAGATTGCTTTTGCTATTCTCATTCTCATCTGATTCTATATAAATTTTAGTGTTGTTTTCTATAGTTCTGTGAGGGATAGTATTGGTATTTTGATTGGTATTATATTAAATTTGTACCTATACAAGTTTTGTGAGTATGGCCATTTTGACAGTATTGGTTCTGCCTAACCAGGAGGAGATATTTTTACATTTTCTGGTGTCTTCTTTGATCTTTTTTCAGAGTGCTACAGTTCTCGTAAAAGTCTTTCATTTCCTTAGTTAGATTAATTCCTCAGCATTTA